TGCTCTAGTGCGAGCACAAGTCAATAAACTAGAAGGGACTCCAAGAGCAAATTAATCCAGAGGTACTCCTAGTTCTGGAACATCTGGATGACATACCTGCTCCTGTAGAATTGCCTGCAATCTTTCATTACTAAAGAATCACTTTTATCTTCTCCAGATTTTGCTTCACCATCCAGCCAACAAGAACTGGTACTGGGTTGTTGTAGGTTTTTTGGGCTATGTGACCATGTTCTAGAAGCATTCTCTCCTGATGTTTTGCCTTCATCTATGGCAAGCATCCTCAGAGGTTGTGAGGTCAGACTTAGGTTGACCCTAAGCCTGACCCAAAAAACCTACAACACCCCAGTGATTCCAGCTATGAAAGAACTGGTACTGCTACTGGAGTCTAACACAGCTCAGTAATGAGGCAGATGGAAAGACATCCAATATAAGCTTGGTACCTCTGAACTCCAAACCACAGTTCTCTCCCAATGGTTTTGTACCAATGTTAAAAAGGGAAAACCAAACAAAATAGTCCATAATTATGAAATTTACTTGAGAAACTGCAAGTCGCTTCTAGTGTGAGAGAACTGGCCGTCTGCAAGGAGACCGCCCAGGAGACACCCAGATGGTTTACTATTCTTGGGAGGCTTCTCTCATGTCCCTGCATGAGAAGCTGAGACTTAATTAACCCTAATTACCCATATACTAGCTTCGGCTTTCATGTAAATAAAAGTACAGGAGTTTAGTATGAGAGTTGGTAACTTTATACATCCCCCTTGACATCTAGCTGAATTCTCTGCCAATTTATTCACATTAAAATTAAGATAAACAGCTTTTTCCAGATAACTGACACAAATATGGATTCAGTATGAATAACAAATTTAACATGGTTTAGTAGCCGAAAAGCTTATTTTTTTCATTTAGCTGTAGTGCTATCTCTGATGACAGCTGGTTTGCATGGAACAGAACAACATACAGTTCCAAAAGACTGACATATACAGACTTCATTTTTGCTAATAGCAGTAGGTGTTAAAACTTCTCCGTATGGATCAGTCCTCAATGAGATTTGGCCATACGCAGCATGTGAACATACCTTGTTCAAATATCGCAATGTAAGACTCTAAACCAACAGACATAAAATAAATACAACTGAAGTAATATAGTCAATCATACCCCGGATTCCATGTTGATAAAGCTGTCTGAGAAGCTGTATTTGAAAGGGGTATCAATAAATATCCCATTGGGAAGCCAGCAATTTTACTCTTCCCGTGATGGATTTCTAATTAATATTACTGACTCACTGTGCAAGAGCAGAGCTGACTTGTGAAAATTCAAAGCACATAACTTCCATATGAAAAGAAAGCAAACAATTTGTTTAACACACTATACTTCTGCATGTAGCAGAGTCCATCAAAGAACCCTAAACTCTAATTCCAGTCCACTACCTCAGGAAGATTGGTATGAAATAATTTTTCTGTTCCAAGATCACATTAAAAAACTAAATTAGCACACACAAAAACCACTCAAAATATGTTAAAAATAAGCTTATGATCGAACTTGAAATATTTTGAATTAAATGTGCTGGATAAATGAACACACAATATGCATGTTACATTCTGCAGGCTTAAAAACATTTAATCACTTCATGTTGAAATAAACTGTGAGGGAAATAGACCCCTAATGAAGGGAAGTTCACCCTGAAAGAGTTATCATGGGGAAGCTCAAATGAAGCTTTATCATCAATCTTTGTTTCAACAAGAGGACATTTTTTTTCAAAATTCAATTCTCACTGGGTCAGAAAGTGAGGTGAAATCTTCTGAACAGGGACATAGACAGTAAAACAAACACCACAGGGGTGTTAACTCTTCCCTATGTGACCAAAGCTAAAAAACATATATATATTGGGACAAGTTACACTTTAAGATGTGCCTGCTCCAACTTAAATACAAATTCAACTTAAGAAACCTACAAAACCTATAATGTTCGGAACTTTGGGAACTTACTTTATTTATAATAACAATACTCAAAGTTTATCTAGAATAGCTCTTTCACCATAGGACAGGACATCAACATATACATTTGAAAACAAGAACAACAAAACTTAACATTATAAATATACAGGAAATGAAATTATACATGGAATTAATTTAAATGAATTTAAATGTTCATTGTCAAATTAGTTACTTCCTATTATAGGAACTGGCAGGCATAACCTCAGTTTGTTTACAATCTGTAATGTTTTGTATGTTTTTGGACAATTTTTTAAATTAATTTTATCTAAAAGTAAAGTATGAAAACAAAAAAGCAGATTTTCATAATATATAACAATAAAACCCCTATATCTAAGAAAACTAAATCTAAAACAAACTTACTAAACTGGAGTGTTTTTAGGCTTTGACCCAATTTGGTGCTGAGAGAAAAGCGGGGACACAATTAAATACCCTAATTGCTGTAATAATGACAACAACTAAAGCAGCTACCAAACTAGCCAGTTTGATGTTAATATCGGAAACACACAAAGCCTATGACTTTAATAATGATATAAAATAATATACATACTATAAATACATCATAAGGTAAAATATAATAATGATAATATTAACAACTTAAAAATCATGGGATAACATAAGTGAGACCCTGAAAATAGGACAAATTGTCCTTCAAAAAGAAGACCTAAACCAACTAACAAAATGGACAGCTTGATATCATAATAACTGAGATACACAGATTAGATGACATTGCATTGCATTCACTGGCCCACACAAATGATAATAATGAATAACAGCAATATAAAATATAATAATGATAATAATAATAATAATAATAATAATAATAACAGCAACAAACTGTAAATCCTGGGAGAACAAGGGTTGCCCCCAAAGATGGGACAAACATTGTTCTTATTTTCAAAAAGAAGACCTAAAACACCTACCAAACAGGCAACCTTTACGTCAATATCAGGAATACCGTACATAAATAAGGCAACACTGTACTGCATTCACAGGAGCACACAAAGCCCATGACATATATATGTGTGTGTGTAGTTATAGAGTACGTGTGTATATGTATGTATATATAAAGGGGGGAAGTGTGTGTGTGTGTATATATATATATAGTAATATAGTAATATATATCCTGAGAATATAGGAGAGGTCCCTGAAACTGGGACAAACATCCAGACCTGAAACAACTACTAAACCTGGCCTAAAACAGCTATACTAAACTGCTCTGCTTGATGCTGATATCAGAAATAGATAAATGAGGTGATCTCACATTGCATTCACAGAAGCAAACAAAGTACATGACAATAACAATAATAATACTGGAAGAACAAGGCAGGTCCTTGAAGATGGGAAGAACATTGTTTTTATTTTGAGAAAGAAGAACTAAAGTACCTACCAAATAAGCCAAACTAGTGTCAATATTAGGAATAGACAGATGAAGTGACACTGCACTGCATTACCAGGAGCACACAAAGCCCATAACACACACACACACACACATTCTCTCTCTCTCTCTCTCTATATATATATATATAGGAAGAGAGAAAGTATATGCAGTGCATTCACAGAAGCGCACAAAGCCCATGACAATTATATACACACACAGAAATAGTATAACAACACACACATATATATAACAACACACACACACACACATATATGCAGTGCATTCACAGAAGCACACAATGCCCATAACTATATATATATATATATATATATATATATATATATACACATGCAATTCCTTCACAGGAGCACACAAAGCCTATGACAATAATATAGAAATAATTATAGACTATATATATACACACACACATATATATAGAAAGAGAATATATATATGCCGTGCATTCACAGAAGCACACAAAACCCATGACTATATATATATATATATATATATATATTGAGAGAGAGAATATATATATTCAGTGCATTCACAGAAGCGCACAAAGTTCATGACTATATATTTACATATATAAAGTGTATGTATTGTGAAATATATCTATAATTCCTTCACAGGAGCACACAAAGCCTATGACAATAATATAGAAATAATTATAGACTATATATATATATACACACACATATATAGAAAGAGAATATGCAGTGCATTCACAGAAGCACACAAAACCCATAACAATATATATAAAGAGTATATGCAGTGCATTCACAGAAGCACACAAAACCCATAACAATAACAATATATCTATATATAGAGAGAGAGAGAATATACGGATGCAGTGCATTCACAGAAGTGCACAAAGCCCATGACTATATATATATATATATATAAAGTGTGTGTGTGTGAAATATATATATACACAATTCCTTCACAGGAGCACACAAGCCTATGACAATAATATAGAGAGAGTATATATTATACTCTCTCTATATTATTAGGAAAGAGCCTGAGGCTGTGGGGAATGGTGGGAGTTGGAGTCTCAAACCCCTGGAGGGAGGGCCTAAATTGTGAGGAAGCCCATGACCATATATTTATATATATAAAGTGTATGTATGTGTGAAATATATATATACAATTCCTTCCCAGGAGCACACAAAGCCTATGACTATATAGTATCTCTATATTATTAGGAAAGGGCCTGAGGCTGTGAGGAATGGTGGGAGTTGGAGTCCAAAAACCCTGGAGGGAGGGCCTAAATTGGCCCAGGCCTGTTGGAGGCAAGTAGCTCATGAGGCCTTGGGAGGAGCGCACAAAGCCTGAGGCAAGGACGAGAAGAAGACGGAGAGAGAAGGGAAGCAATCCCCCACCGCGCCGGCCCAGCTGGGCAAGCCGGGGCATGCCGGCCTTGTGAGAGAGAGAGAGAGAGAGAGAGAGAGAGAGAGAGAGAACAGACCTTTGGCCTCCTCCTTCTCCCCTCCCGACCCCGCCAGGAAGCCCCGTAGGCGACCCTTCGACGACGACGACAACAACAACAAAACGGAGAGAGGTGTTTGGGGAAGGAGAAAGGGAAGGCGGGCCGGCCGAAGCGCCGGGAAGGGGAGTGAGGGCCTTACCGCCTTCGGGAGGGGGCGCCAACCCGGGGCCTCTGCCCCCTCCTTCACGACGCGCTCTCTGAGGGGGAGCGGGGCGACCCGGAAGTTCTCCCTCCCTCCCTCCGGACACGCCCTGAGCCAGGCTGCGGCCTATCGGGAAGGCGCCAGCGGGGCCGCGGGGCCGTCACAACGCCACTTCCGGGTTCCCGCCGCCACGCCCGCTCCTTAGCAACCGCGTTCGGTTGCTAAGCGGAAGTGGGCCAGGCTAGGCCACAAGGAAGGGAGGGGGGAAGGTAGAGGGAGCCACTCTCAACACTAGGTTCTTGTAGGCTTTTTCGGGCTATAGGGCCATGTTCTAGAGGCATTTCTCCTGACGTTTCGCCTGCATCTATGGCAAGCATCCTCAGAGGTAGTGAGGTCTGTTGGAAATAGGACAATGGGTTTATATATCTGTGGAATGGCTGGGGTGGGACAAAGAGCTCTTCTCTGCTGGAGCCAGGTGTGAATGTTTCAACTGACCACCTTCATTAGCATTTGAAGGCCTGGCTGAGCCTGGGAAAATGTTCTGTTGAGAGGCGTTAAGATGTGCCTGGTTGTTGAGAGGTGTTAAGATGTGCCTCAGAGGTAGTGAAGTCTGTTGGAAATAGGAAAATGGGTTTATATATCTGTAGAATGACTGGGGTGGGGCAAAGAGCTCTTCTCTGCTGGAGCTAGGTGTGAATGTTTCAGCTGACCACCTTCATTAGCATTTGAAGGCCTGGCTGAGCCTGGGAAAATGTTCTGTTGAGAGGTGTTAAGATGTGCCTGGTTGTTTCCTCTCTGCTGTTTTCCTGTAGTAATTTTAGAGTTTTTTAATACTGGTAGGTAGATTTTGTTCATTTTCATGGTCTCCTCCTTTCTGTTGAAATTGTCCACATGCTTCTTGTGGATTTCAATGGCTTCTCTGTGTAGTCTGACATGGTGGTTGTTGGAGTGGTCCAGCATTTCTGTGTTCTCAAATAATATTTCCGTGTTCTCAAATAATATCTCACACCTAGCTTCAGCAGAGAGCTCTTTGCCCACCCCAGTCATTCCACAGATATATAAACCCATTTTCCTATTTCCAACAGACCTCACTACCTCTGAGGATGCTTGCCATAGATGCAGGCGAAACATCAGGAGAAATGCCTCTAGAACATGGCCCTATCGCCCGAAAAAACCTACAAGAACCTAATCAAGGGCCAGTTTTAGAAGAAGATCTACAAGCCACTCTAAACACCTTTGCAGAAGCATACGAGAAGCTCGGCCTGTCATTGAACATCGAGAAAACCAAAGTGCTCTTCCAGCAGTCACCAGCCAATCCCTCTCCAATGCCAGAAATACAGCTTAATGGTGACATTAGAAAATGTGGACCATTTCTGCTCCCTTGGCAGCCACCTCTCCATAAAAGTCAACATCGACACTGAAATACAACACCGCCTGAGCTCTGCGAGTGCAGCATTCTTCCGAATCAGACATGTAGCCGGGGGGGGGGGGGGCTTCCGCCTCCCCCCCCCCACAGAAATTCTCATGGTGGTACGAGAAGGCCTTACTGGTGCATTATTTAAACTGTTGTGTTTAATTATATCATGATCTGATCACCATACTCAATATATCCCATATGCATGGGGGTATTGGGGTAACGATACAAAAGGTTTGCTAGGGTAGACCCTCTTTCACTCGGACTCAGCCCCCCCCCCCCCCCCAAAAAATCAAAATCCTGGCTACAGGCCTGTTCCGAATGTAGGGGCCAGTTTAGGTATTTCAGTTCATCTTGGAGGAGGTGGTGCTACTTCATAACTATCATTTTGCTACTGTTCTGAATTGTAATGTAAACATCTGATATGCGGGATGTATTTTCATTTACGGGACCAATTTGGCACAAATACCTGATATGACCAAATTTGAATACTCATGTGGTTGGGGTTATTGATTTGGTCATTTGGAAGTTGTAGTTGCTGGCATTGATAGTTCACCTACAATTAAAGAGCATTTGGAAATCCATTGGATGGAATTGAACCAAACTTGGCTACACAGAACTCCCATGACCAACAGAAAATACTGGAAGGGTTTTGTGGGCACCGACCTTGAGTTTTGGAGTTGTAGTTTATCTATACCCAGAGAGCACTGTGGACTCAAACAATGATGACCAAATTTGGCATGAATACTCAGTATGCCCAAATGTGAATACTGGCGAAGTTTGACGAATGCAAGACTGGGGTGAAAATGGCTGGAAGAAACATCAACAACCTTATTATTGTCGAAGGCTTTCATGGCTGGAATCACTCAGTTCTTGTGGGTTTTTTTCGGGCTATATGGCCATGTTCTAGAGGCATTTCTCCTGACGTTTTGCCTGCATCTATGGCAAGCATCCTCAGAGGTGAGGTCTGAGGATGCTTGCCATAGATGCAGGCGAAACGTCAGGAGAAATGCCTCTAGAACATGGCCATATAGCCCAAAAAAACCCACAAGAACTGAACCTTATTATTATTAACTTTATTTATACCCCGCTAACATCTCCCGAAGGACTCGGTGCGGCTTACAAAAGGCCAAGGCCCTCAATAAAACAACAGCATAACAAATACAACAATAACACTCAGATATGCAGATGATATCACTTTGATGGCTGAAAACAAAGAGCTGAGGAGCCTTCTAATCAAGGTGAAAGAAGAAAGCGCAAAAGCTGGGTTGCAGCTAAACATCAAAAAAACCAAGATTATGGCAACAAGAATGACTGACAACTAGGAAATAGAGGGAGAAAACATGGAGGCCGTGAAGACTTTGTATTTCTGGGTGCAAAGATTACTGCAGACGCAGAGTGCAGTCAGGAAATCAGGAGACGTTTACTTCTTGGGAGGAGAGCAATGTCCAATCTCGATCAAATAGTGAAGAGTAGAGACATCACACCGGCAACGAAGATCCGCATTGTTAAAGCAATGGCATTCCCCATAGTAACCTACGGATGTGAGAGCTGGACCATAGGGAAGGCTGAGCAAAGGAAAAGAGATGCTTTTGAACTGTGGTGCTGGAGGAAAGTTCTGAGAGTGCCTTGGACCACCAGAAGATCAAACCAGTCCGTACTTCAGGAAATAAAGCCCGACTGCTCATTGGTGGGAAGGAGATGAGAGGCCAAGATGAAGTCCTTTGGCCACATCATGAGAAGAAAGGAAAGCTTAGAGAAGACAATTACGCTGGGGAAATGGAAGGAAAAAGGAAGAGGGGTCGACCCAGGGCAAGATGGAAGGATGGGATCCTTGAAGTGACTGGATTGACCTTGAAGGAGCTGGGGGTGGTGACGGCTGACGGGGAGTTCTGGCGTGGGATGGTCCATGTCACAAAGAGTCGGAAACGACTGAACAAACGAACAACACATATAACAGAGCAATATAATAAAAACAGTAAGTAAAACATTCATTAAAACAGTAAAAACAGTATTAACAGCTGTATCACCATTCCAGTCAATTCCATGTCCAAGTGCTGTGTCTGTTGTCCAAAAGCCTGGTCCCAGGACCACAACTTCAATTTCTTCCTAAATGACTGGAGGGACAGAGCCAATCTTACCTCGTTGGGAAGCAAGTTCCACAGATGAGGGGGCCACAGCTGAGAAGGCCCTGTCTCTCGTCCCCGCCAGACGTATTTGCGATGCTGGAGGGAGTGAGAGCAGGGACTCTCTGGATGATCTTAAACTGCGAGGCGGGGTGTAGAGGAAGATGCGTTGGGACAAGTAAGCTGGGCCAGAACTGTATAAAATTCCATTTATGAAACAAATAAATATTGCGCTTGTTGGAAGTCTACCTCATACTGCTCAAGTCTGCAGCCCTCAATAAGGAACAGTTAGCATTAGGCTAGCTGAGTGATTCCCCAGCTCCTGAATGTCCTTAAATATATCTATTTGTTGTCTCTCTGGTCCCTTCTACATAACTGAATAAAATTATCTGCTTTGAACTGGAATATATGGCAGTGTCGACTCAGATAAATGTTAAGAATGGAAATTATTCTATAATCTTTTGGTAGGTTAATTCATTACGACTTGGGTTAATCGATTGACAACTCCTGTGACAGGTGATTGAATCAAGACCTGAATCATGACTTGAATCCAAATTCTTATATTCCATCACCACATTATTAAGTTGAATTGATCCTGTTTAATTGCTACTATACGTTTCTATCCACCTTATTGACCACCCTATCCTTTAACTAATTTCGCATATTGGCCCCCTCTCCCCCGCCAAAAATGAGTCTGTTGTTGCTTCTGATGTTTGTTTTATTGTTTATGCTGTTTTAATGCTATTTTATTATGTTACTAGCCGTCCCCTACCACGCATTGCTGTGGCCGGATCTGGTGATCTGCAAAATAATGAGAAAGTGTTGGTTTCTAATACATGTAATTTCTTTATGCTTGTGAGTAAACAGTATTTCTTGTTGCTGCTTTGTCAGTGTTGATGTGACGATCGTCTGGTTTGCCTACTCTGTGATATACAACATATAATTATCCTTTTTTAGGGGTCCTTTTCAAATCTGTGATACGATCTGTGTGTGTGTGACTCATATATATATCTATGGCTGGATGGCTCTTTGTCAAGAGGGCTGCAGTGAATCTTACCTAGTAGGCCGAAAAGGAACCCTGGATAACAGTACGGCAACCTCCATTTTGAGAGTGTAAGCCAGGAAAGCAGCGATCTTGAGTGAGGATAGCTAGATGGGAGGAGTTTGAGGTCTCCTGGGATTGGCTAGAGCAAATGGGAGGAGCCAAGCCTTAGGAGGGAAAAGATTTCAGCTTCTGTGAAGTTGAGAACTGGGAGCTGATGGGTGAAGAAGCGTTTTTGAAACTAGGTTTTCAGGGAGAGTGTCTGTGAGACAGGGGTTGATTAGCTGACAGGAGAAAGGCCGAACAGCAACCTGATTTCTTGTGGGAGATAGCACAAGAGATTAGCTCTCTAGACTGAGTTAGTGAGCAGCAATAACTCTGAGAAGAGTTAGCTGATAACTCAGGGGGCTACCTAGGATAGGTTAGTCAGAAACTCATTACTATTTCTATGAAGTAGAGTGAGGGATTTTTGTTACTAGCAGCTAGATCTGTTTGATTAGCTCTGTATGTAACTACGTGAAGAAACTTATTCTAGCAACCATCAAGCTAAAGAACTTTGGTAACAAGTCAAGCATTTTGTGCCTCTCAGAAGTAGCTGTCTGTGTTTATAAATAAATTTTTCTATTTAACTTTCAAAAAGGTCTCTATCGTTCCTCAATTTACCATTAATCCTTTGTGATAATTCCAGCATCTTTAGCAGCCTGATTCTAGAGAAAGGTCTCTTATTCAAATAGTCATTCTGGGAGCGAGGGGAAGAGCAGTATTGGCAGAAGTGGAAAAAGGTTACCTCAGAAACTCATTTCAAAAATCCTAAGGAAACTTCGGTTGGTGGCAGCTTTAAATCAAAAGAAGACTGAAAGACAAGCAGGGTTCATTCTACCATTACACATATCCATTTACATCTCACTACCAAATTGGAGGCACGGGCGTAGGATTCGTGAGAAAAAAAGGAAATCTTTGATGGAAGAACCATCCTGCCCAGACCCATTATCAATAAGTCTTCAGCCTCGCGTCACATACATTCCTTTATAGTGGTGTCCAGCGGCGTGATATTTGGTGATATATTATATAGGGATCTGTTATAAGGGTGTTGCTTGTTTTCTTGCCCTGGTGAAGGGAGTTGAACTGGATGAAGTATTTTCTGTTGGCTATAGAGGTTCTGTGTGGGAAGTTTGCCCCAATTCTGTCATTTGTGGGGTTCAGAATGCTCTTTGATTGTAGGTGAACTATAAATCCCGGTAACTACAACTCCCAAATGTCAAGGTCTATTACCCCCAAACTCCATCTGTGTTCATATTTAGGCATATTGAGTATTCATGCCAAGTTTGGTCCAGATCTATCATTGAGTCCACAGTGCTCAATAGTATAATGCCAAGTTTTAAAATACATTACAACTGTACGCTCAATTCACTTCTGACATGATAAATAAATATACATGCAACCATTGCTGCTAACGATAAGGCAACAGCCATCATGACTCTTTTGGTATGGAATTGCTTCTCTAAGATATTAAGTCAAACCATTCAGAAGTTGAGAAAAACTGAGAAGTGTACACAAGGCACCATCACTTTTACCCCATAAGAAACATCTCTAGTTAGAACAGCATTTCTCACCCTGGGGGTCGGGACCCCTGGGGGGGTCACCAAGGGGTTTCAAAAAGGTCGCCAAAGACCATCAGAAAAAACAGTATTTTCTGTTGGTCATGGGGGTTCTGTGTGGGAAGTCTGGCCCAATTCTATCATTGGTGGGGTTCAGAATTCTCTTTGATTGTAGGTGAACTATAGATCCCAGCAACTACAACTCCCAAATGTCAAGGTCTATTTCCCCCAAACTCCATCTGTGTTCATATTTAGGCATATTGAGTATTCATGCCAAGTTTGGTCCAGATCTATCATTGAGTCCACAGTGCTCTCTGGATGTAAGTGAACTACAACTCCAAAACTCAAGGTCAATGCCCACTAAACCCTTCTAGTGTTTTCTGTTGATCATGGGAGTCCTATGTGCCAAGTTTGGTTCAATTCCATCATTGGTGGAATTCAGAATGCTCTTTGATTGTAGGTGAACTATAAATCCCAGCAACAACTCCCAAATGACAAAATCAAATTTTTATGAGTGATGGTCACTTCTTGGGATAGTAGGTGTCTTGTGTCCAAATTTGGTGTCAATTCGTCCAGTGGTTTTTGAGTTCTGTTAATCCCACAAATGAACATTACATTGTTATTTGTATAGATTGTTCTGTCTTTAATTGTATGTTGCTTTGGGCTTGGCCCCATGTAAGCCGCCCCAAATCCCCTCGGGGAGATGGAGGCGAGGGAGAAAAATAAAGTTCTTCTTCTTACAAAGAAATCATATTGATCTTGAATTTAGTGACCAAAAGAGAAAAACAGATGTTAATTATACAAATATTTTTTACAAAAAGTTTATTAACAGTCATATGGCACAAGTAATTCGTAAGTGCATAAAGAAGCAAACAGCATTTAGCATAATTTCCCTATCTACCAAGCAATGCGTTGCTTATCGGTACCGAAACGCCCAGGAAATATTGATTTCCATTCACTTAATGGCTATTCAAGTTTTAGGTCATTTTAGTAAACAAAACAGCCTAGGAGGCCTTTATAAAGCCTTTACTCAAAACAAATTCAGAATATATATATATACATAAGTGTACCAATGTCATTATAAGAGCATGCCAAGATCTGCCAGCAGAAGAGGTGAGCCTAAGTAAGTTTTGGTCATCTTCTGTGGAGTCCATATTGGGAAGCAGGGGACAAATCCTGAAAAGGAAAGAAAATCATATGGAAGTCAGTATCCCAAATCCAAAATTGTGCTGGCACTGCAGCATTATAATACAAATACTCTCTTTCCCCTTTGCTTGCAATCCTTAGAGCTGCTCAAAATGCAGATCTAAATTATTATAGAATTTCAAAGCAGATTTTGGAGGGGAGTAGCACAAATAATAATAATAATAATAATAATAATAATAATAATAATCTTTATTTGTACCCCGCTACCATCTCCCCAAGGGACTCGGTGCGGCTTACATGAGGCCAAGCCCAAAGTACATCAAACAAAACATCAATAACACAACATTAAAAAAAAAACAATCAATAAAATACAAATCATATAAATCATACAAAGGGCTAGGGGGCCATGGTAGAACAGTGGGTTAAACTGCTAAGCTGCAGAACTTGCAGAACTTGATGGTTGGTGGTTTGAATCCCTGGGACGGGGGTGAGCTCTCATTGTTAGCCCCAGCTTCTGCCTACCTAGCAGTTCAAAAACATCAAAATGTGAATAGATCAATATCCTTATTCTCACTGCCAAGGAACTGGGAGATATTAACATCACACCATCATGTGGCACAATGAAGGATCCCCCTGGTTGCGCAGCAAGTTAAACCGCTGAGCTGCTGAACTTGCTGACCAAAAGGTTGGTGGCTCGAATCCGGGGAATGGGGTGAGTTCCCGCTGTTAGCCCTAGCTTCTGCCAACCTAGCAGTTCGAAAACATCCATATGTAACTAGATCAATAGGCGGGAAAGTAACAGTGCTCCATTCAGTCATGCTGGCCATATGACCTTGGAGGCGTCTATGGACAACGCTGGCTCTTTGGCTTAGAAATGGAGATAAGCACCACGCCCTAGAGTCGGACTCGGGTAGACTTAATTTCATGGGGAAACTTTTACCTTTTTGCAAAGGGCTAAATAACAAACTCTCACACACTTCTGTTTGCTTCTACTACCAGAAATGGTTCCTGTCCCCCAATTTCAGTTTCTAGATGATGATAGTAACAAATTTGTTACCCTCCTCTCCTCACGGTTAAAACACAGTTAAAATATAATATTAGAAGGCATACAGTATATTAAAATATCAAAGACAAATACTAATAAAATGTAAGAATAAGATATATAATTCAAAAAGGTTGGTTTACGGAGAAGAACGTTACCTGTGACTCCTGGTACATTTACCAAAAGTTCATTCTATATTCAGTGCCATTTTTGTGACTTCTGACTTTTATCAAGACGGATGGACAATTACGTATAAGCTCAAAAGCCAAATCTGAAGCAGTTCTGCCAGTCTTTAGCCCTGAATTTCAACAATCGTTAGAAAACAAAGCATGTTACGCTGCTACAGGGTTATTAGGGTGGTTAACCTAATGGCCTGTGTTTCTTACTTTCAGCTACTTGTTCCTATTCCGCTGCACCCAGGTTGTTCGTCGTCCAAAATGTGATTTTCCTTCTCCGAGTGCTTTGAGGATTGAGTAAAGAATTCGCCTATTCCTTTTTGCCATGGTGGTGTTGGCCTCACACAGACTGGATTGCCACCAGCATATTTGTTCTCCCCTATAGAATGGAATTAAGAACACATCAATAGAAAAACCCACAAAAACAGTTAAAGCGTCCCACTTATATATATGTTTATATATATATGGGTGTGTGTGTGTGTGTGTATATATATATATATATATATACACATACACACACACACACACACACAAGCTGTACCTGCCACGCGTTGCTGTTGCAAACCTTCTCCCCCACTTTCTCCTCCTTTCTTTCTCTCCTTCCTTCCCTCTTTTTCTTCCTTCTCTGTTTCTTTTCTCGCTTCCTTTGCTCTTTGGTTCCATCCTTCCTTGTCTCTTTCCTTCTTCCTTCTCTTTCTTCCTTCTCTCCTCTCTTTCACTTTTTCTTTCCTTCTCTCCTTCCTTCTCTACTTTCTCTTTCCTTCTCTCATTCTTTCCCTCTTTCTCTCCCTCCTTCCTTTTTCCTTCCTTCTCTCTATCTTTCTTTCTCTCCTTCCCTCTTCTCTCCCTTTCTTTCCTTTTTTTCTTCCTCCTTCTTCTCTCCTTCCTTCCTTGCCCCTTTCTGTGTGTTTTGTGTGCATATATATATGTGGGTGTATATATATATATGTGTGTGTGTGTGTATATATGGTTTTGCACATGCGTTGTAATTTTTTTGTGTTTTTCAGTGTTTTTATGAGTGATAGACACTTGTTGGCCTATCACTCATAAAAACTTGTTTGGTGTTGATGTTCCCAGTGGTTTTTGAGTTATGCTAATCCTACAAATGAACATTACATTTTTATTTATATAGATTAAGCGTATGAGATATTGCATGTGTTCAGAATACAGGGGCACATGTGTTGGCTATCAAACAAAATCCCAGAAAAGCCACTTTAGGGAGAAACAAGCAGGGGTTTTCCACACCTTCCTATCTCTAAATGGAGAGACAATAGTGAGAGCTCCCTGCCACACACTCTATTTTTACAAGAGCAAGTCTTGCATTAAGAATACAGTTCTATTTAAATATAACCAGAAGCAAATGTCATGGTGTTTATTACTGCAGCTGACTTACGGCAGGACAGTGCCAAGATCTCACAAAATAAGCTGTCGCATGTCTGTAATGTTCATAATTTGAAAGGAACTTGCCTTGTGTTTGTATTTTTTTTTACTTTGGTTCTTATTGTTTCTTTCTATATCTGATTTTCTGTGATTTAAATAAAGATTAAAATAAAGAAATAATTATAAGGAGATGGGGAAGGAAATCTTTGGCCTTCCAAAAATTTGGATTTTAATTCCCATAATCCCTAGTTATACTAGAGTATAAGCCAATCCAAATATAAGCCGAGGCACACAATTTAACCACAAAAAACTGGGAAAAGGTATTGACTCGAATATAAGCCAAGGGTGGGAAATGCAGCATCGATTGGTGAATTTCAAAATAAAAATAGACACCAATAACATTAAATGTTAAATGTTTTTAGAATATTTTCATAAAACCATAATTTAAGGTAAGACTGTCCAACTCCAATTAAACCATTATTCTAATCTTCTTCAATGTAAATGTGCTTACATATCCTTCCAATAATAATAGAGTAAAATAATGTATATGTAATAACAACAGAGTAAAATAATAAACAACAAAAAGAGAAAAAATAATGGATGTAATAATAGAGTAAAATAATAAATTAGTAAATAAAATAGTAAAATAATAATAAACTCTTCCTCCTATTGTTCATTTCTCAGTTGCCCTTGAGGCCGCTTGGGATAAAAACATAAAAGTAAAGTTTTGGGATTTTCACCTGGGCTTTCCCAGCTGAATTCTGAGTATACCAAGTTAATTCAGATGTTAATGTCTCCTCCAGATTTGGTAAAAATGTATCCATTTTATATACAAGTAGTGCAAAAAATAAGCCATGGGTAACTTAGTATTTCAATATAGATTGCTGACATGTTTGAATATTTAACAAATATTTAATATTTGCAGCATGCTTTGTGAAAGAGTGTAGCTCAACAGACACAGTCACAGAATCATAAAAGTTAGAAGAGATCTTGTGGGCCATCCAGTCCAACCCCCTCCCAAGAAGCAGGAAAATCGCATATAGATTAGTGTGGACTTACTCCTTGACTTTTGCATAGTTAAGAGCAACAACTATTAAACCTAAATAATCAGATCTATTTTCTTTGTGTGCCTGTGTGCACATTTGTGCCCAGAATTGTTGTTTGTCACCTAACATAACAGTGTTCAATTGGCGCTCCAGTCATGCCGGCCAAAAGACCTTGGAAGTGTCTACGGACAACGCCGGTGTGAGGAAGTGTAAAATTACTGCTACCAATTTGTAACTGTTTGTAAAGGAGCCACCACTTTGTGAGGGTTTATTTAATTGATAGCTAATAATATTGATTTGGTCTTTCTTCTGTGCAACGTTACTTAACTTAGAAAGCAAACGTAACAGGGACAAGGCTTTAGGAAAAACAGTAACAAGTTTATTGAAATGTAGAAGAAGCGTGATGGATTCAATGTTTCCTACATATCTTCAAAAATTACATTTATAACTCTTCTTAAACAACTCTGGAAAGAACTCTTCCTTCCAATAAACAGGTTTCCAACTTATTTTTCTTCAAATTGTATTTCTTCCCTTAATAGATTACTTCAGTTACAAGCTTATTCTTTCTTTGTGATGTTTCTGTTGCAATAGAGATCCTTACTGGGATTCTCTCACCCTTTCTCTCATTCACTAACTATTAATACAGCGTTTCTCAACCTGGAGGTCGGGAGCCCTGTGGGGCCCACAAGGGGGTGTCAGAGGGGTCGCCAAAGACCATCAGGAAACACAGTATTTTATGTTGGGGGTTCTGTGTGGGACGTTTGGCCCATTCTATCGTTGGTGGGGATCAGAAATGCTCTTTGATTGTTGGTGAACTATAAATTCCAGCAACTACAACTCTCACTTGTCAAGGTCTGTTTCCCCCCAAACTCCACCAGAGTTCACATTTGGGCATATTGAGTTTTCATGCCAAGTTTGGTCCAGGTCCGTCATTGTTTGAGTCCACAGTGCTCTCTGGATGAAGGTGAACTACAACTCCAAAACTTAAGGTCAATGCCCACCAAACTCTTCCAGTATTTTCTGTTGGTCATGGGAATACTGTGTGCCAAGACTGGTTCGATTCCATTGATGGTCGAGTTCAGAATGCTCTTTGACTGTAGGTGAACTATACATCCCAGCAACTACAACTCCCAAATGGCAATATCAATCCTTCCTCCAACCCCACAAGTATTCACATTTGGGCATATCAGGTATTTGTGCCAAATTTGGTGCAGTGAATGAAAATACATCCTGCACATCAGATATTTACATGATGATTCATAACAGTAGCAAAATTACAGTTATGAAATAGCAACGAAAATAATTTCATGGTTGGGAGTCACCACAACATGAGGAACTGTGTAAATGGGTCGCAGCATTAGGAAGGTTGAGAACCACTGTATTAATATAATTAAGTCAACTCAACTTATTTAAACTACTCAGGCTAAAAGCCAAAACCTTGCTAATTCTCACTACTATAGAATCAGCCTTTCCCTATAGTTTTTAAACTACAGATTGTCTTCATGGTTCTCACTACTCAACAGAACCAGTCACTCCTACAGTTCACAGACTGTAGACTAACTGTTTTAAAATGGCTGCCCTGCCAAGTGGCAGTTGGCTCTGCCCCTGTTTCCATGGTAACCCAGCTCAACATGAGCTGAGCTGGCTATCATCCCCCTTTGTTATGTTCTCAGCCCAAGGGCGACTCACAGCGGCCTACAAAATATAGTGTCAACATAACAGAAATATTGATATAAAAGATGCAGCATAGCATGTGTAAAATTTAGTGGATTAAAAATGTACAAACCAGCAGCAGAAGTAAAGGCTTTCTCACAATGCAGAAGAGATTGTCAAGAAGACATCCCATGGAGACCCAATTGAGGAAGGCATTTATAAATGAGAAGCTGTCAGTGAAAATGACTTTTTCCACTTTTGGAGGTATAGATTTGAACAGGCACGTGTGTTGCACAACTACTGGGGACAGAGTGTTTACCTTTCTTTTTTTCTAAATTGGGTTGGAAGCTGTTCTGAGTCCCTCCATGGAGGTTGAGAAGGACGGGATAAAAATGGTTTAAATAAATAAATAATAAATGAATAAATGCAATAACAATAATAGAGTAAAATAATAAATAACTTCGGCTTGAGTATAAGCCAAGGGGGGCTTTTTCAAACTAAAAAAGGGCTGAAAAATTCGGCTTATACTCTAGTATATATGGTAGTGTTGCTCATTGAAGACCAATTAAATGTTATCTTACAAGTATTGTAGGACTCATACTCCAACCGTAAGCCAATAAAGAAGCAGTCCTACCAACCCACACATACACTTACCTTTCCGTGAGGGAGGAGATGATGTTAGATTGGCACTTCCGGAGCCAAGTACCTTCCGTGGAGCCCTTGCAGCAACCACTGCCATTAAAAGGAGGAAACCATTAAAATCTTTTACAACGGGGATATAAACATCAATTGTATCCTCAAATAATAGAAATGAATTTGTAAAACTTTACAAAAACAATAGTTTAAAATTAAAGGTAAAGGTTTCCCCCGACATTAAGTCTAGTTGTGTCTATTTCTAAGCAGAAGAGCCGGCATTGTCCGTAGACACCTCCAAGGCCGGATCCCCTGTCCTTGATAGATTACATTGCTCTCTCACCCAGTGTTTTAAATTTTAATGTTTCGCAATTTGCCCTGCCCACTGTGATCAATTTTCTGTGTTTTAATGTTCTGACTTTATATTGTTTGTTCTGTTTATTTATATTGGTTTTTGTATTTTTTTATTTTTTATTTTCTGTTGTGTTCTTGTTGTTTCTGTTGTGTTCTTGTGTCATATTGTAATTATTTTTTTTGTCATGTCTGGATTGACTTGAGAAACTGCAAGTCGCTTCTGGTGTGAGAGAATTGGCTGCCTGCAAGGACGTTGCCCAGGGGATGCCTGGATGATTCGATGTTTTTATCATCCTTGTGGGAGGCTTCTCTCATGTCCCTGCATGAGGAACTGGAGCTGATAGAGGGAGCTCATCCACCTCTCCCCATTTCGAACCTGCGACTTATCAGTATTCAGTCCTATTGCTGGGCTTGGCCTCATGTAAGCCGCCTCGAATCCCCTTGGGGAGAGGGTGGTGGGACATAAATAAAGTTTTATTATTATTGTTGTTATTATTATGACTGCATGGAGCGCAGTTGCCTTCCTGCCAAAGCGATACCTATTGATCTACTCACATTTGGATGTTTTCAAACTGCTAATTTGGCAGGAGCTGGGCTAACGACAGGAGCTCAGGCCGCTCCCCAAATTCAAATTGCCAACCATTTGGTCAGCAATTTCAGCAGCTCAGTGATTTAACCCGCAGCAGCACCAGGGAGATATAGTTTTAAATTATAACTAGACTAATTTCAACTAACTTTACCATTTATAATCTTGTTTATATTCATAGTAGTGTAACAACTTGAGTGGCTGAGGGGGGAAAGGAAGGGGCCTGAGGCTGTTAGGAATGGTGGGAGTTGAAGTCCAAAACACCTAGAAGGCCCAAATTGATCTATTTCTTCCTTAGGGAGAATTTCATCTATGCTGACGATCATGCCATCACCGCTTAAGTGGATGAGGGGGAAAAGGAAAGGGCCTGAGGCTGTTAGGAATGGTGGGAGTTGGAGTCCAAAGCACCTGGAGGGCCCAAGCTGATCTATTTCTTCCTTAGGGAAAATTTCATCTATGCTGATGATTATGCCATCACCGCTCAAGCAAGGAGCTTAAGGGGCTGAGGGGGGAAAGGAAAGGGCCTGAGGCTGTAAGGAATTGTAGGAGTCCAAAACACCTGGAGGGCCCAAGTTGGCCCAGGCCTGACATAGCATTATTGGCTAACCAAAATATGAAAAGTAGCCGCTTTCGAAGCTTCTTAACCAAGCAAAAAGTATTTTAAAAACACAGAGAATGATGGTGTTGGAGGTCTACAATTCACATAATTTATCAATTGCTTTGGAAACATTTTGGTGAGGATATTATTACGAAAATATAGTTTTTCCTTCCTGGAAGTTGTAGTTTGGTGTGGAACTAACACTCTTTAACAAGACAAGGCTAAAAACTCGGCAACACAACAACTCTCTTGTTGTAGGAAGGGGCCTGAGTCTGTTAGGAATGGTGGGAGATGAAGTCCAAGGCACTTGGAGGGCCCAAGTTGGCCTAACCAAAGCCTACAATTCACACCAGTTATTGATTGCTTTGGAGGCATTTTGGCGAGATTATTATTACAAAAACATATATTTTATTTCCTGAGAGTTGTAGTTTGGTGTGGAACCAGCACTCTTTAACCAAAGTCTACAATTCACTACAGTTATCAATTGCTTTTGGGGGCATTTTGGTGAGATTATTATTACAAAAATATATATATTATTTCTTGGGAGTTGTAGTTTGGTTTGGAACCAGAACACTTTAACCAAGGTCTACAATTCACATCAGTTATTGATTGGTTTGGAGGCATTTTGGTGAGAATCATATTACAAAAATATAGTTTTTTTCTTTCCTGAGAGTTGTAGTTTGGTGTGGAAACAGCACTCTTTAACCAAAGTCTACAATTCACATCAGTTATCGATTGGTTTGGAGGCATTTTTGTGAGAATATTATTACGAAAATATATATTTTCCTTCCTGGGAGTTGTAGTTTGATGTGGAAACAGCACTCTTTAACCAGACAAGGCTCAAAACTCTGCAACACACTTTCAGCCTCAGATGAAGCCAAAATCACCTCCTTTCTACCCAGAAAACACAGCAATAGGGCAACCGACTTAAAATGCGTCTACACCGCAGAATTAATGCAGCTTGACATCGCTTTAATTGTTATGGAATTGTACAAGCTTCAGTTTTATGGGAGCTTTACCTTTCTTTGCCACAAACTGCTGGGGTCCCGCCAAACTACAACTCCCAAGGTCCCATAGCCTTGAGCCAGGGCAGGTAAAGCGGAATCAACCCGCATTAAATGTCCCAGTGTAGATGCACCACCACAGCAACACACAGACACTCCCCCACACACAAGATATTGGTCTCTTCCTTGCCTTTCCGGTAAGCCCCGCCGGTTCCTCCGCAGTCCGCCTTGGTCCGCACCATCTCCGCCAAGACAAGCCTTCCGACCTCGAGGAGGACTTTTTAAAAACTGACCCGCAACTTTGTAGACCCGTTCCCGCGCGCGCGCCACGCTCCCATTGGCCCGGCCGGAAATTGCGGCCGACCAATCACAAACGGGCCCGTCTGATTCCGCCGTTCATCACTCTCCTCCCGCAGCTCTTCTCCTCGCTGATTGGTTCCCCAGCAGAATAGTGAGTAAACTCACGTTCAAGGCCAAAGCGAGAACCAAGTTAGGGTGCAGCTACACTGCAGAACTCATTGACTTTGGCACCACTTGGCTCAATGCTATGGGAGTCCTAGCTGTTGATGGGAAGCTTCCCACCAGAGTGGAAATAATCTCTGGGACAGATGGCAAGCTATTTAACCTCAGCAGACTGAAAGCCTAAACCAAGGTTACAACAACATATGTTATAGAACTCCAGCAGAAGGGACAGAGAGTTTCATCTATGCTGATGATCGTGCCATCACCACCCAAGCAGGGAGCTTTGAGATAGTTGAACAGAAGCTCTCCGAAGCATACTGGAGTTCTGTTATAGAACTCCAGTATGCTGATGACAACGTTGTCTGTGCGCATTCAGAAGAAGATCTACAAGCCACTCTAAACACCTTCCAGCTGAGGAACTAACAATATCATACGAAAGCTGACTGGCATCTGCCTCAGGGGAGCGTGCTCGCTCCACAATTACTTTTTGTATTATTGATATTGAGATTGTTGATGTTGTTGATGACGATGTTTTTGATATTGCTAGTTTGTTGTTAGATTATGTCTTGTAATTTGCACCTATCCTCTCCATGTTGTACACCGCTGTGAGTCGCCCCTGGGCTGAGAACAGCGGTCTATAAGCACAGTAAATAAATAAATAAATAAATAATAAACATCTACACAAATGACCAGCCACTGCCAGAAGGGACAGAGAGTTTCATCTATGCTGATGATCATGCCATCACCACCCAAGCAGGGAGCTTTGAGATGGTTGAACAGAAGCTCTCCGAAGCATACTGAAGTTCTGTTATAGAACTCCAGTATGCTGATGACAACGTCGTCTGTGCGCATTCAGAAGAAGACCTACAAGGCACTCTAAACATCTTCCAGCTAAGGAACTTATACAAACGGTTATCCTCATATACAAAGTAGGAATAGTCCCCTAAAAGTGACTCATTTAAGATGGAATCAGGTATCAAACAGGGATGTGTTCTTGCCCCAACTTTATTGTCCATCTTCATTGCTATGATACTTCACCTTGTTGACAGGAAGCTTCCCACCGGAGTGGAAATCTTCTATCGGACAGACGGCAAGCTATTTAACCTCAGCAGACTGAAAGCCAAACCCAAGGTTGCAACAACTTCTGTTATAGAACTCCAGTATGCAGATGACAACATCGTCTGTGCACATTCAGAAGAAGACCTACAAGCCACTCTAAACACCTTCCAGCTGAGGAACTAACAATATCATACGAAAGCTGACTGGCATCTGCCTCAGGGGAGCGTGCTTGCTCCATCCATGTTCAACATCTACACAAATGACCAGCCACTGCCAGAAGGGACAGAGAGTTTCATCTATGCTGATGATCGTGCCATCACCACCCAAGCAGGGAGCTTTGAGATGGTTGAACAGAAGCTCTCCGAAGCTCTAGGTGCTCTTACTGCCTATTACAGGGGAAACCAGCTGATCCCTAATCCATCTAAAACACAAACATGTGCCTTTCACCTTAAGAACAGACAAGCATCCCGAGCTATGAAGATCACCTGGGAAGGAATTCCACTGGAGCATTGGAGTGGAAATCATCTCTTGGACAGATGGCAAGCTATTTAACCTCAGCAGACTGAAAGCCAAAACCAAGGTCACAACAACATCTGTTACAGAACTCCAGTATGCTGATGACAACATTGTCTGTGCACATCCAGAAGAAGACCTACAAGCCACACCTTTGCAGAAGCATACAAGAAGCTCGGCCTGTCATTAAACATCAAAAAAACCAAAGCGCTCTTCCAGCAGTCACCAGCCAATCTCTCTCCAATGCCAGAAATAATAATAATACTTTTTTTGTCTTGAGAAACTTCAAATCACTTCTGGTGTGAGATAATTGGCCGTCTTCAAGGACATTGCCCAAGGGACGCCCGGATGATTGGATGTTTTTATCATCCTTGTGGGAGGCTTCTCTCATGTCCCCGCATGAGGAGCTGGAGCTGATAGAGGGAGCTCATCCACCTCTCCCCGGATTTGAACCTGCGACCTGTCGGTCTTCAGTCCTGCTGGAACAAGGGTTTAACCCACTGTGCCACCGGGGGCTCCATCATAATAATAATAATAATAATAATAATAATATATTATTATTATTATTATTATTATTATTATTATATTAAACTGCTCTGAGTTGCCTAAGGGCTGAGAAGAGCGGTATACAAATGAAGTAAATAAATAAATAGTAAAATAAAACTTTATTTATACCCTGCCACCATCTCCCCAAGGGACTCGGAGCGGCTTACATGAGGCCAAGCCCAACAGCACATCAAAAACAACAGCGATAACAAAATAACAAGCAATAAACAAAATAAACAATACAATTAATATAAGTAGACAATAACACACATGAGTTAAAAAAACCTATGGCTCGGCAAAATTGAATAGTTAAAACTTTAAAAATAAATGCTGGACATGAGCAGAGGATGTATCTATTTGGAGGGGTTTAAAATAAAAAGGAAAGAGTCAGGAGTGTACTTGAGAAACTGCAAGTCGCTTCTGGTGTGAGAAAATTGGCCATCTGCAAGGACGTTGCCCACGGGACATCCAAATGTTTTGATCTTTTACCATCCTTGTGGGAGGCTTCCCTTATGTCCCTGCATGGGGAGCTGGAGCTGTCAGAGGAAGCTCCTCCATGCTGTTCCAGAAGCATTCTCTCCTGATGTTTTGCCTGCATCTATGGATCTATTGCCGGCATCCTCAGAAGTTGCGAGGTCTGTTGGGAACTAAGCAAGTGGGGTTTATATATCTGTGGAATCTCCAGAACTCTTGTCTGTTTTGAAACTACAAGGCCATTAAATGCTAAGCAAGGTGGCCAATAACAACATTCACACCTGCCTCAAACAGGCAAGAGTTCTGGACATCCCACAGATATATAATCCCCACTTGCCTAGTTTCCAACAGACATCACAACCTCTGAGGATGCCTGCCATAGATGTAAGCGAAACGTCAGAAGATAATGCTTCTGGAACATGGACTGACAGTACGGAAAACTCACAGCAACCCAGTGATTCCGGCCATCAAAGCCTTCGTCAATACATATAACAAAAAGGTGAGCCTTTAACACAGGACTCAATTATTTTCTTCAAAAGGTGTGTATTCCTGTCTGTAAGTACCTCTGGGGTTACAATACAAACCTAAATCCTTTACCATTAGTTACCTGGAAAGATTAACAGCTGCATTCAAAACTAAATACAGCTGAGCTAATCAGATTTAAAACCTGCTTAAACTCATTTAAGTCAATGGCCCTAAAGTGGTTGTAACTGCAGAGCCAGCGATTGTTATGTTAAACTGATGTAATTTCTTTAAAGCACTTTCACTCCTTTTGTGTGCAGGTGACTTCGAGATTCTTATCGTTTTTTTGAAGGCAAGGAATACACAAAGAGGTGTCTTGGCCAGTTCCTTCCTCTAAAATGTACCAGATAGTCATTTGTAGTCACCCACCCAGCTCTGACTTATCTATGTTGAATATCAAGCAAAAAGTGGGCACTGGAAATAATATAATACGAAAGCTGACTGGCACAACCTGGGGATCACAACCAGACACAGTGAAGACATCTGCCCTTGCGCTTTGCTACTCCTCTGCTGAATACGAATGTCCAGAGTGGAACACATCTCACCATGTTAAAACAGTGGACATAGCTCTTAATGAGACATGCTGCATTATAATTTGATGTCTACGCCCTACACCATTGCAGAAATCGCACTGTTTCGCTGGTATCGCACCACCTGACACCTGCCAGGAAGTAGCAGGCAGGGCCTTCTCGGCGGGCCTTCTCGGCAGTGGCCTACCGCCTGTGGAACTTGCTCCCCAGTGAAATTAGGTCAACGGATTCCCTCCTTTCCTTCAGGAAAAAGTTGAAGATGTGGCTATTTATTTATTTGCGACATTTATATGCCGCCCTTCTCACCCCGAAGGGGACTCAGAGTGGCTTACAAATAAAAAGTAAATACAGTATATTATATTTTTACCATAGCACAATATTAATCTTATATATTACATTGTACTATAATATTATACTATAATATTATTAGTAATATTACATTTAATATAATATATATAATTATATCATATTATTATTAGTAGTGATATATTGTATTACATCATAATATTATATGTACGAGGGATATTTTTAAAGTAAGGTCCGTTTTGTTGTAGACACTAGTAGTTTGCACGCATACCGCAATAAGCACATGCGTCATGTACCGGCATGCCTCGGGAACAACTGTGCTCAGTTTCCGCTCTGTAGCTAACCTGTACGGTTCTGTTCTGTGCTTTAAAAATGTTTAAGACTATCAACTCACCCTCCGCATGTGAGGTTCACTCAGTGATACGGTTTTTGTCAGCAAGGAACCCGCCTGCTGCAGAAATTCATCGACAGATTTGTGAAGTGTACGGTGATACTGTTATGAGTGAAAGCAAAGTGCGTAAGTGGGTATGACAATTCAAAGATGGCCGTGACAACGTCCATGATGAGGACCGCTCCTGTCGCCCTTCTTTGATTACAGACGATTTGGTGGCTTGAGTTGAAGTCCTCTGTTAGGAGTTTCGGGACCCAACGGGAGCACAGTTTCCTAAACTTTAGGTGTTCAGAAACAATGTTGTAAAGCACTGATCTCGACACGTCAGGAAATTTGTTTGAGAGACCTGTTATTGTGAAGCGCCTGTTCTCACGAATCCTCGCTTCAACTGAAGCCACCAAATCGTCTGTAATCAAAGAAGGGCGACCGGAGTGGTCCTCATCATGGACGTTGTCACGGCCATCTTTGAATTGTCGTACCCACTTACTGAACAGACTACCATGAGATGCAGAGCCAAGCT